AAAATAATCTGTTTAGAGTCCAGTGGACCAGTTTATTCTGACTTGAGGATCTACTTTTGTTAAATGTTGCTTCCCTTAAATTTACAGTTCCTGAGAACCTATTGACAGTGTTGAGGACTTACTGTACTCTTTGCCTTTCTCTACGCAATAAATAAGGGTGTTCTAATCAAGGACTTTTTGTCTTCCTTGCCTGGAACACTTTTCTTAGTCTTGGGAGTGCAAATCAAAGAGATTTTCCCAGATCACATTCCCATCCCATGTTACCTTTTGTTTTTCTTTTCGGGTCACACTCTGAGATGCACAGGGTTTACTCCTGGCTCATGTACTCAGAAATTACTCCGGGTGGTGCTCGGGGACCATATGGGATGCTGGAAATCGAACCTGGGTTGGCCGCATGCAAGGCAACTGCCCTACCTGCTATACTATCTCTCCAGCCCCCACCCCCATGTTACCATTTTATTTAAAATCCCCATCAGTGTTATCTCTCACCCCCCCTTGTGTGTAATTTACCCCTATTTGAATGTAAACACTATTAGGACATGATTTTTTTTTTTGTCTTGCTTATTGCTGTATCTTAAAAATTCAATGTTTACCAAGGCTTAGGGATTAGGCTGCAAGGTAGAGGTTGGTGGGGAAAATGGAGTAAAAGGTAGAGGAAAAAGATAATAGAAATAACATAGAGGATAATAGAAATAACAGTAATACTTATTGTTCTAGATATTGGAATAAAATGGTTTTAAATTATACTGAAAGAGATATTGATGAACTGTACTGAGAACAGTACAGAGATCAAGACTGAGAACACTTTCAAGTTAGAATGGTCTTCAAAGAGATGATTAAAACATATAATGTACTACCTATGAAATTTTGGTTATTCAAAACAACTCTGAAAGCTGATTTTATAAGTCTCCTCGCTAATATACTAAGCATTAAAATTTTGTAGATGAACTCAAACAAAAAATAAACTTTATTCAGACTCTTCTTTGTTTGTTAAGGTTAAAAGTAATAAATATTTTATCAACAATTTCAGTTAATCTGAAGGTAACAATAAAAGGATGAATACGTAAGCAACAACATTGAAGATATTTGCAACATATATAACATAATTTTTTAATTCAGAATATATGAAGAATGTATGAAAAAAGAAGTTGTGGTGACAGACAACTCAATAGAAAAATGAGAGGGATGCTTAAACAGGTGTTTGACAAAGAAGATAACAATGTGGCCAGAGAAGATAAAAACATGGTTCACACTCATCAAAGAAAGGCAGTTTAAATCATGAGAACCCCAGATTCACTTCCCAGAATGGCTGAAATGAAAGACATTATTGTTAATAGCAGGCATTGATATAAAGAATGACTACAATTACATGCTGCTTGTATATATAAATTGGCACATTTTTGAAAACTATTTGGTATCATATCTTCTAAAGTTGTGTATATACATAGCTTTTAGCCCAAAAGTTTTACTTGCATTCATACCCAATGTAATGAATGTACACACATTTCAAGAATGGTGATAGCATTAGTTGTCTTAGTCAAAAGTTGAAAACAACACTAAAGTTCCAATAGGAATAAATTATGGTATGATATGATTCTATAGTAGAACACAGAACATTGAAAATGAACAGATAGCATGGGCTATCCAATTATATGGATAAATCTCACAAATTAATAAAGGAATTGACACTAGGAAATTATATGAAGTTAATCAGAACATAATCTATGGTGATGGAAGTTGTCATAAGAGACTGGAGTGATAGTACAAGTGGGTAGGGCACTTGGATGCAGCATACCAGGGTTCAATCTCAGGCACCCCATATGATCCATTGAGCCCACCAGAAGTGAAATCTGAGCAGTTGGAAAAAGTAAAATCATGAGATGAAATAGACTAAGGATAATTCAGGATAATTGATTTGCTTGAGTAGGCCCAGTAACATCTCCATCGTGATACTTGTTGTTACTGTGTTTGGTATATTGACTACTTCACGGGTAGCTTGCCAGGCTTTGCCATGCGGGCGCAATACTCTCAGTAGCTTGCCGGGCTCTCCGAGAGGGCTGGAGGAATCGAACTTGGGTCGGCCATATTGACCGCTTGCAAGGCAAATGCCTTACCCACTGTGCTATCGCTCCAGCCCAATTAGGATAAAAGTTATTTTTTAAATTTTTATTTATTTATTTATTTTGCTTTCTGGGTCACACCTGGCAATGCACAGAGGTTACTCCTGGCTTTGCACTCAAGAATCACTCCTGGCAGTGCTCAGGGGGACCATATGGGATCCTGGGAATCGAACCCGGGTGGGCTACGTGCAAGGCAAACACCCTACCCACTGTGCTGTCACTCCAGCCCCAAAAGTTATTATTTTTTTTATTGCTGGCTGCATATCTGAAATACCAGGACATTATAAACAATGCTGATTTCCAGTCCTTATCTGTAAGGGATAGGGTCTAACCATTTGGATTTTTAAAAATTTCAACATCTCACACCTATTAGGAATGCTGCTATTTTAAAAATAAGTATTTTAAAGAGTTTATGGGGAAAATTGCAACCCTGTGGACTGTTGGAATATAAAATGGTCCAGCCTCAAAGACAATATGGTTTCCTCACACAAAATAAATTTATCATCTGATTTATCAGTTCTATTTGTGTACCTGTGGGGCATGTATCAAGTTAAAAAATCTTGGGAGAGAGAATTACATACCTCCTTAATAGCACTATTAACCGTAACCCTGACACCCATCTGTTCTAATTGTCCATCAATGGAAGGATAAACATGACATCTACATAAAATAGGATATTATTGGACTTTATATAAGGGAAATTTTGATGTGCTAAAATAGAAATAAACCTTAAATGCATGCTAAAGTAAGCCAGTCACAAAAGGGCAAATAACATAAATGTAATTCCACTTAAATGAAGTACCTAGTGTACTCAAGATCATACAAGCAGAAAATAGAATGGTGGTTGTCAGGGTCTGTGAAAGGCAGAAAGAATTTTTGTCTTGTTTGATTTGTACCTGGTGATGTTGGGAGAGTTCAGGGTCCCAAATGTGGCAAGTGAGTTTGATCATGCAAACCCTGACTCCTGTGTGCAAAGCATGTGCTCCAAACACAGAGAATGAATTGTTTTGATAGGTATAGCGTGTCACTTTTGCAAGACAAAATTCTGAAGGTGCATTGCTAATAAAATCAAAGATAAACATGAAATATAAACTACATTTAGCGATCTTTGAATTGGTAAATTTTTGTTTTGTTTTGGAACCACATCCAGCTGTCCTCAGGGCTTAATCCTGGCTCTGTACTCGGGGATCATTTCTGGAGAGGCTCTTTGGACATATGGGTTGTCAGGAAACAAACCTGAGTTGGCCTCATGTAGAAGGCAAGAGCTCTATCCAGTGTTCTATCTCTCTAGCTTCAACTTGAGAATTTTTTTATTTTATGTATCTTAACACAAGTGGAACAGTTCCACAAGTAATTAATACACAATAAGACTAGAACAATGCTTCAATGCAGTTATGTTAACTAAATTTAACACTCATTTTTAAGACAACAATTTATTTGATGTATTATTTTTCATTTCACTGCTGTTCTTGGTATAGTATTTTTGCATTTTTCCTTAAGGTAATTATACTTTTTAGGAGTGAAATTTATTATTCATCTGAAATATCTGAGAATGTTGAAGTATTTTAGGTGTAATATGTACCAAAAAGTAACACTATAACACTTCCCCACCCAATAATTAGGTTTTAAATTAAATTACCTTTAAATTGATCAGAAAATTCTTTAGCTTGCTCTTCTCCATTCATCAATTAATAGCTATAGAAAGGTTGTACACTAATTATCTTTAATATCCCGATGTTTTTTTAACCAGGAACTTCTAGACTTCATGATAAAACCTCAATTTGTGTTTTAAATAAGTAGAAAAAAAATCCTGAGAAAAATTTTAAATAGCAGATCATCCACAGGCATAAATAATGAAACAACTTTAAGTACTTGTGTGAAAAAGGTTTGTGTCTATATTTAAACATTATCTAAATATATTTGTGTCATGTAGCTTTTTGTTTTCTTAATCATAAGTCATTTTAAAAGTGGCTTGAGGGCTTTGGTTCATCTGCACAATGGGATACTATGCAGCTGTTAGAAAAGATGAAGTCATGAAGTTTGCTTAAAAGTGGGTAGTCATGGAGAGTATCATGCTAAGTGAAATGAGTCAGAAAGAGGAATAGACATAAAATGACTGCACTCATTTGTGGAATATAAAATAATGTGAGATTGACATGACTGACACCCAAAGACAGTAGACACAAGGGCCAGGAATATTGCTCCATAGTTGAAAGCCTGCCTCGTGAGCTGGGGGAGAAGCAGCTGGAATAGAGAAGGGATCATTAAGTTAATGATGATTAGAGGGATTGTTTGGGATGGGAGATGTGTGCTGAAAGTAGATAAAGGACAAATATATCTGTATTGCAATCTACAATGCCCAAAAGTAGAGGATAGTATGGGGGAAATTGTCCCAGCTATAGAGACGGGGAAGGGTGGGATTGGGAGGGGATACTGGGACATTGGTGGTGGAAAATGTGCACTGGTGGAGGGATTGGGTGTTCGATCATTGTATGACTGAAACTCAAACATGAAAGTTTTGTAACTATCTCATGGTGATTGGATTAAAAAAAAAAACTGATTTGAGGGGTAGGAGAGATAGCACAGCAGACAGGACACTGCCTTGTTCACGGCCAATTCATGTTCAGTTCTTTGCATCCCAAAAGGCCCCTTGAGTACATTGAGTAGTTTCTGGGTGCAGAATCAGGAGTAGTCCCTGAGCATCATCAGGCATGATCCAGGGTCCAAAAATAGACTAAAGTAAAGGTGACTTAATTTTCTTCAATAACATTTTTAGTCCCTATAAAAAACATTTTTGAATGCTTTGACTTTTTTTTTTTTTGGTTTTAGGATATGTTCGTGTAGAAGACACTCGCATATCAAGATTTGGAATAGTTAGGAATGTCCCTGCCAAGTCGACAAACAGCTATTGTTAACCCTCCTCCACCAGAGTATATAAATACAAAGAAAAATGGGCGAATGACAAATCAACTACAGTATCTACAAAAAGTTGTCCTGAAAGCTTTATGGAAACATAGTTTTTCCTGGCCTTTTCAACAACCTGTGGATGCTGTGAAACTAAAGTTGCCTGTGAGTGTGTCTTATATTTATTAAAGAAAAACCCTTTAAATCTCTAAAAGAAATTTGTCACTCTTTTATATTTATCACTGTATTTTTGTTCTTGTTACTTTTTCTGTCCTCTCCCCTTTGTTTTGTTTGTTAATGTTGTTGGCTCACTGATATTTGTATTATTACGTTTATTCAGCACCACTAAAGGATATCCGAGTGATCTTTTTCTAAACAACAAATCTCTTTTTTACCTGAGTGCTAAACTTATGCTTTAATAATTTTAAATTATTAAATTATAGAACGGGCTGGAGCGATAGCACAGAGGGTAGGGTGTTTGCCTTGCACGCAGCCCACCCGGGTTCGATTCCTCTGTCCCTCTTGGAAAGCCCGGCAAGCTATCAAGAGCATCCCGCCCGCCAGGCAGAGCCTGGCAAGCTCCCCATGGCGTATTTGATATGCCAAAAACAGTAACAACAAGTCTCACAATGGAGGCGTTGCTGGTGCCCGCTAGAGCAAATGAACAACGGGAGGACAGTCCTACAGTGCAAGTTATAGAACATATGTAGGGGCAAATTATAGAACAACATAAAACATAATTTTGTTATGGTCTATAATCCTTGACTTTTGGGAAAATTGTTTTTCCTTTTTTTTTTTTTTTTTTTTTTTTGCTGGGGAAGAGCCGCACCTGGTTTTTGGTGATTACTTCAAACTCTGTGCTCAGGGAGCATCTGGAAACATGCAGTGCTGGGCCTCAAAGATGAACCTCCTGCATACAAAGTATAAACTCAGCCAATTGAGCCTTTAGCCTGTTCCTTAGTTGTCACAAACATAACCTTCATCATGAAGTAGCTGTTCATACTTCCTGGTAGATTTTATTGTATCACAGAATTGAACTTTAGGTTTTACATTGGGCATTTAAGATATCAGAGGGCAGATTTACTGGTTAAGTGATTTATGATATGTTTAGTAAATTGGAGATGAGGCTGTACTCTGAATTGGTCCAGTTATGGTCAGATAGCTTTCATAACTACTAGGGGTTTATTTTTTTGAGGGGATGGATGATTAGACTCTTTCTAACCGAGACTCTCATCTTGTCTCTGAGCTTGGGACCACTCTTGTGGTGCTCAAAACGAAATGTGCCTCCAGAGATTGAACCGAAGTCAGCAACATGGGAGGCAAGTGCCTTAGCCGTCTCTGCCCTCGGTGTTTTGTTTTGTTTAAATCACAAATCACAAATCATCCTGTTAGTTGTCGATTGCCTCGAGCAGGCCCCAGTAACGTCTCCTTCATCCTAGCCCTGAGATTATATTCAAGGCTCTTTAGGAGAATGAGACCCATCATTGTTACTGGTATTTGGCATATTGGGTACGCCACAGGGAGTTTGCCAGACTCTGCCGTGTGGGCAGGCTACATTTGGTAGCCTGCCAGTTTGTCCAAAGTAGGAATGAGATAATAAGAAGTCATAATATGTTCCGGGAGCTTGTTTTTATAGTCTCTGAGTCTTGGCCGCTGATGGGATTACACGGCGCCAGGGGGCCAGTTGGTGGGTGTGACCCCCGCCTACTGGAATTTGGAGGATCTGGGTGGAGGATGCTCGCCCTTATCCGGGTAGGCTTGGAGATCTTGGCCCCGGAACCCGCGTGACTTTGTCCCTCTGCCAGTACCTTCATGTGTGCGGAGAGTGGTCTCAGCATGGTGGTGGCTGGTCCTGGAGGTCTTTGGCTGCCGTAGTCCTGGTCGGGGCGGGGAGGAAAGCTCAACCCGCTCCCCTCCAAGGGGTCCCAGCGAGCGAGGACAGTCTTCTGCCCCCGCTTTGTTTAAATACTGCTCTTCAATTTTTATTTTTCCAGGATGTATCTACTCTTGCAATCTTTCTTTGTTCTGTGTTTATTGGTTTTATTTTCTTTTGAATAGTATACACCCAACTTAAGTTCTCATTATCAAAGATTTTCGCAGATTATGGCTTTTTCAGTGTAATGTATGTGCCTCCCTTATTAAAAGCATATAGTTTCTTAAATTTCTTTGTGTACTAATAGTTATGGTGAATTAATTTTGACATTTAGAATATTTTTGAAAACTATAGGATTATTATACCATTGTAAAAACCCCAATGGATTTAAATACAATTAAGAAGCGTTTGGAACATAAATATTATGTGAAGGCTTCAGAATGTATAGAAGACTTTGATACGATGTTCTCAAATTGTTATTTATACAACAAGGTAAGTAAATGTTAAGATATACCTGCTAGTTTTTTTTTGTTGCATATAAGATGTGTATAAACAAACTGATTTCTATTTCAAATCTTGATTTTGGGGTATTTTACAAATTTTCAAAGATGAGATTTTTTCACCAAATTTTATAATCCTCACTGATCAGTTCTTTTCTGGAATAGCTATAATGATTTATAAAATTAAATGTCAATTTTAACTGGTTTCTCTAAGGAATTATTTAAAAGTTCTTGATGTACCATTTCAGTTAAGAGATGTATGTATGAGTTTACTGCTACATGGATAGAACTAGAGGGAATTTGGCTGAGTGAAATCAATCAGAAGAAAAGGGAGAAATAGAATGATGGGATGATCTCTTGCATGTGTGGGATTTAAAGATACACAGTAAGAGAGCAACAAATGGCCAAAGGCAACAGAACAAGAGACTTAGTCCTCCATTTCTGGCTAGAGAAGCGTGTTGGAGGAGAATGTTGAAAGGGAAGGGCCTTTGGGATCTTGGTAGAAGGAGGTTGGAACTCTGGTAGTTCGGGTGGTGTTCGGGTGATGTAAATGTGAAACCATCATTAAATTCCAGAACCTCAATGCAGATTAAAAAACAAAGTTGAATGGTAAACCTGGTTAATTTTTCAGATCCCTGGCCAGTCACAACTTAAGAAACTAACTAAAACTATATATTTTTGTTAAACATCATGACAAGTTAATTCATATGTTAGACACATTTTACAGTTTCATCCCAGTAGTAATATTTGCTTTATGGCAGTGCATTTTCTTTTATAGTAATGTATGTGCCCATTTAAACAAAATCATTAATTTACTTTCATCCACAGAGTTAAATTGATGTATTCAGGTTTTATTCCATTGTAGTGTTCCTGTTTTCTAAAGAGCTGTATCCTATTCAAGTTGTTTTATGGTATCTGGAAGTTTAAAAATATACATCCCAGGACCAGAGCAGTACAGGGGGGAGTACAGGAGGGAGGGCATTTGCCTTGCATGTGGCCAACCTGGGTTCAATCCCAGGCATCTCATATGGTCCCCCCAAGTACTGCCTGGAGTAATTACTGAGGGCAGAGCTAGGGGTAACTCCAGAGCATCGCTGGTTATGACCCAAAAAGCAAAAATAAATGAATAATTAAAAAATATACACTCTATTTATCCAGACTCTGAAATGGGTTGAAATTTTGATCTGGTTCCCAAAAATAGCCACTTTATTTGTATAAAATCTTTAAAACTGCTAGCCAATGTAAAGTTTTATTTGTTTTATTTTGGAGTCATTCTTGGTAATGCTCCTGGTCTATCCCCAAGGGGCTTGGTATTCTTGGTGGTCACTTCTAACAGTGCTCTGGAGATCTTGTGATGCCAGGAATTGAACCTGGCCCTCCTCTATGCAAAGCTTGTTCTCCAGCTTTTGTGACCCTTGTGATTCTTTTTAAAAAATTAGAAGCAACAGTGCTGTCAAAGTAGCATAAGCAACTTCATTTAATATAACAATCCTAAGTGGTTCTTTGACATAAAACATTCATTTTGTTTTTGGATTGTAGCTGGTGATACTCAGGGGTTACTTCTAGCTCTGCACTCAGGAATCACTCCTGCCAATGCTTGGGAGACCATGTTGAATGCCGGGATCAAATCTGGGTCAGCCTAGTGCAAAGCAAGCTCCCTGCTCACTGTTCTCTACCCACTCCAGCCCCAGACATTTTAAGGCAGTGGTTTTCCCAGACTATTTAAGATTTCTATGCTTCTTCATCTGGGGAACATAAAGTAACAAAATAGGAGCCTAACACCCAAGAATAGCTGAGAAAAGTACTAGGAGGATTACTCCATGGCTTTGAGGCCTAGGGGAAAAAGCAGCTCAGATAGAGAAGGGAGCACCAAATAAAGGGTGTTGGGAAGTTCCTCTCAGGATGGGAGATGTGTGATGAGAGTAGACTATAGACTGAACATGATTGCCACTCAGTGTCTCTTTTGTAAACCACAGCACTCAAAAGGAGAGAGATAACAAAAGGGAATGTCCTGCCACAGAGGTAGGATGGGATGGGGGGATGGGGGTGGGAGGGATACTGGGGTTGGTGGTGGTGAAGAATGGGCACTGGTGGAGGAATGGGTATTCGATCATTGTATAACTGAAACCCAAGCACAAAAATTTGTAAGTCTACAACTGTACCTCATGATGTTTCACTAATAAAAATTTAAGGAGAAAAAAAAAGAATTCTATGCTTCAGGATTTTGTTTTGTAATTTTTTTTCTTTAGTAGTGAAAGATGACTTTAAACAAGCAATTAATATTTTAACACTGTTAGTGCTACCAGATCATTGGTAGTTCATCATAGTTATTTGAAATAGTCACATGATCGTCATAGTTAAAGTAGTCACATGAATACAAACCATGAGTGTTGTTTTAGCTTAGACATAAAAAAGCATTTTAACTTATTCTTGAAAAGGAAGTTCTAATTTTTAATAAACTTTGTATTGATCAGATTTGTTTAGTTTCAATTCTGTATTGCTTATAAAGGTGTTTTGATTACTTATTTATTTTGTGATATCAAGGATCAAATCCAGGACCTTATGTAAGCAAAGCAAGAAATTGACTACTGAGCCACATCACTGGCTTTTTGGGTTCTTTTTTAGAAATTAAAGGGGATGGGGACTGATGAATGTTACTGATATTTAGGTGTATATGTATTTATATATTTAGGTATGTACATTTGGAGATGTGTGAATGGGGGACTCTTAAAGCAAATAGAATGTTGTAGGCAATATCACCACAGTAAAAGATAAGAAAATGTTGTAATTGTAGGTTTAAGAAAATGTTATAATTGTAGGTTGTGAGAACTTAAAGGTGAATTGCTATTCTAAAATTAACTTAGAAGTGATACTGTTAAATAAAAATTGTTCTATCAATTTATAAGATGACTTAAAGACATTTGGCACAGTGACCAATATACCCAAAATGACCTTGTAATATATCTTACATATATCCTAGCCTGGAGATGACATTGTTGTTATGGCACAAGCTCTAGAGAAGTTGTTTAAGCAGAAACTATCCCAGATGCCTCAAGAAGAACAAATTGTAGGTGGTAAAGAAAGAATAAAGAAAGGTAAGCCAGAAAAGAAATGTTTTTGCACTTATATACATAAATATATATACACACATACACACATGTTCGTCGATTTGCTTGTTCATTAGCTTGTGTAATAAGCATTTTGAACATTTATGTATAAAAAGACCAAAGAAATGATAAATTTTGAGAGATGGATATATAGAAGTATTTCTTCTGTTTCCCCTTTTTTTTGCTGGTTGCTTTTTGGTTTTTGGTCCACATCTGGTTGTGCTCAGGGTTACTCCTGGCAGGCTGCATGTCGTGCCAGAGATCAGACCTGGGTTGGCTGCATGCAAGGCAAATGCTTTACCTGCTGTGTTATCTCTCCAGCCCCTGAATCCTTTTGTTTTGGTATAAAGTCTCTCTTTAATCTGCTGAACCTTGAGCCGTTGAATGGCTATTCTGTAAAACTGGGCCTATTATGTAAAATCTGGCCTTAAAACCAGGTTTTCTATAGCATTGTACTATTTATACCATAGAGTACCTGATATATTACGGCTGCTAACACAGTTTTTAGTGAATCTTACATGTATTCTGTAGTAATAGTAGAGGTAATATTGTTAATGCTTTCTATAGCTTGAAAATACTAATGTTATGAAATTTTTTTCTACCTTCCACTTTTTTTTATTTTTTATTTTTTTGTCATTTGTGGTGATGAGAATCAAACCCTGGATTTGAGAATCAAACACATGGAAAGCAAGTGCTCTACCACAGAGACTCCCACAACACTCTATTTTTTTTTAAATGGAAAGAAAGTTTTAGAGATGAGGGCAGAGTGATAACTCGGAGAGTTTGCCTTATTGCCTTACATGTGGGAACAGAGTTAGATCCTCAGCACTGCACAGCACCCTGAGGATTTCTGGGAGTGATCTCCAAGCTCTGCCTTGCTTGTGGTCCCTGTGCAGTGCCAGCATGGTCCAGAATACAGAACAGAAAAAAAAGAGAGAACCTTAGGAGTGAATATTGTGCAGTTAATTGTCATAATATTTAAATATGGAGTCACAAAGATAACCTCAACTACTCAAATGGATTTATTATAGAACTGGACCAGAATTATCACTGGTCAGATATTGGGTTCTCGTCAAATCATTCAAGCATATAACTTGCTCTTTTTCTTAATCATCCCATGATTTTTATCTGTAATATTTGGCAAATGTTTAACTTTCATGGTCTTAAATCTTTGTGTATAATTGACTAGGACATAGAGGCTTTTAGTGGAATGATGAGTAGAAGTTGTTTTTGTCGAAGAGTTTTTAAACAGCTAGAGTGTATTGAAAGATCTTTAAGATGTTTTGTGACCTTACAGCTTACTTTAAAGCAAATCTGTGAGCTAACTCACTGTTTATTAAGGTTCTTATTTTATTAATTTTGGGAAAGGTTGATCCTAAGTCTTGGTAATGTAAGGCCTACCTGCCTTCCTTTCCCTTTTCCTCCCTCCCTCCCTCCCTCCCTCCCTCCCTCCCTTCCTTCCTTCCTTCCTTCCTTCCTTCCTTCCTTCCTTCCTTCCTTCTTGAGGGACATGCCCATCAGTGCTCAGGAGCTCCTAGCTCTGCACTCAGGAATCACTACTGGCAGTGCTCAAGAACCATATGGGATACCAGGGATCAAACCTGGGTCAGCTGCTTGCAAGGCCTCCATTTCTATAAGAGGATTAAGCCTTTTCTAGGTAGATAGCAGAAATAAACATGGTATTTAAATTGTTAAAAACGGAATAATTATTGTTGACTTAAAATAGTACCTTTTTCGAGATTTATTTGTGAGTCTCTGGATCATGGCCAGTTCATGAGCTTATATGGAGCCAGAGACAGTTAGCAGACATGATTGCCAGGCTCCTGGAAGAATGAGGATGGGGGAGGTCGCCCATTCCCAACTACATGAGAGGCTGGAGATCTTGGTCACAAAAACCCGCATACCTGAATTTTTCAGCAGATTTATTAATGGATGAGGCTTGTCTGAACCTATGGAGATTGGCTGTGAGCGTGGCATCAATTGGGTTCTGGAGGTTTTCATCTGGTGGAACCCTGTTTGGGTGGATGGGAGACTCACCTGCACTACTCTGGAGTGCTCTGAATATGAGATTCAGCTGGTGTAGGGTCTAGAGGCATCTCTGTAGCTTGTTGATCTCTTCTAAGATTTATTTTTGAGTTACCAATATGTTCTTTATGTCTAAATTGCTCCAACACTTTCAGCATGGTTGTATAGATGATTTAAAAGTATAATTTACATGGATGTAACTGAAGGATATCATGCTGAATGAAGTCATTCAGAGGGAAGGGATAGATACAGATTGATCTCTCTCATATGTGGGTCTTAAGCGATATACAGCAAGATAGCATAAGGGGAGAACTGATCTGCACAACTGAATTGGGGAGGGGGCTTGGGAGGGAGAGGCCCTAGGGTCCTTGGGTGAGGGAGGGCTAACACTGGTGATAGCTGTGATGTTGAAATTATGTGCTTTAAAAAACCACTACTATTAAAAACCACAGTTTATAATAGCATTAGAAACTGCAGAATCTCAGTGTAAATTATTTTTAAATAATAAAAGTTTTAAAAAATAAAGTGAAATGGGGGTCTGAAGAAGTGATTACTGCTCATTGTGGCCCCCCCAAAAGCAAACAAAATGCAATATGGGAGTTTACTATGTCTATATTGCTAAAAGTGGAAAAAATTGAATTAAAGTAGAATGCTAAAAGGAAAAATAACTGGCTTTTTATACCTTAATATTTGACTCTGTTTCACCCTTTTTTAGGCACCCAACAGAATATAGCTGTTTCTTCAGTTAAAGAAAAACAATCCCCTAAGGCACCAGAAAAAATATCTAAGCAGCAAGTGATTCCCTCTCTATTTGCTGAGACAACAATTTCTCCTCTAAACACAGCACAAGTTGCTCCTCTCAACTTGACTCCACAAACAGTGACTCAAGTCAGTTTACATTAATTCATTAATTGAGAACTTAATTTAGTGTAGCATTGGTTGTTGATACGTATATATACATATATATGTGTGTATGTTTGTATATATATATACACGTGTGTGTATATATTTTTGTTTGTTTCTTTGTTTGTGATGCCAGGAATTGAACTCAGGATACATGCCAGTTTCTATACCTTTTTACATTTTATGTGGAAATTACTCTTCAGCATATAGTAATCAATCATTTTGTCATACTGTTTCTACCTGTATTTTGTTAGTAGAAATTAGAATACACACCAAATTTTAAAAATTTCTTTGTTGAAATTTGAATAGATTTTTTTACATATGAAAGAGAAGTTAATCTTTCTAACATTTACACAGAAGTCTTAGTCTTAGTACCAATCATGTTTGTTGTAGTCTTTGTTGTTTTTGTTTTGTTTTGGCTGTGCTCAGGGCTTACTCCTGGCTCTGTACTCGGGGATCACTCCAGATGAGCTCAGGGAAACTTATGGGATATGGCGGGTGGAAACCATGTGGGCTTTGTGCAAGAAAAATGCACTACCTACTGTACTATTGCTCTGGACCCAGTCTTTTCCTTTTTTTAAAATTCAATGCTGTCAAGTTAATTATTAAAAAGCCAAAAAAATTGCCTTAATTATTGTTTTGTTGTTGTTAAATTGCTTTGTTTTAGGTTATAAGGGGTGTGAAAAGGAAAGCAGATACTACTACTCCTACAACTTCAGTAGTGAAAACAAGCAGTGAATCTTCACCAACATTTACAGAAAAAAAATCAGTGAAAATGCCACCTGTAAAAGAAAATGTGCTAGAGAATGTTTTGCCAGATTCTCAGCAACAATGTAAAGTTGTAAAGAATGTTGAAGTAACTGAACAATTAAGGCACTGTAGTGAGATTCTTAAAGAAATGCTTGCAAAGAAACACTTGTCATATGCATGGCCTTTTTACAATCCTGTTGATGTTAATGCTTTAGGACTCCATAACTACTATGATATTGTGAAAAATCCAATGGATCTTGGAACAATCAAGGTAAGTGTTTTGGCTTAAAAAATATATGGTGGCAATCATGTTCGGTCTAGAGTCTACTCTCAGCTCATGGTGTTTCACTAATAAAAATTTAAATAAAATAAAATAAAATAAAATTATTAATAAAAATATTATATGGTTCTCCCAAGCAGTACTCAAAACTTCTGGCAATACTTTCTTGGCAGTGCAGGTCAGATGGTACTCCTGGCTGAAGTCCTTATACATCCTTTTGTATTTGTGGTGCTCATTCTCTAGGCTTTCCATCCCTCCATCCCTCCCTTCCCCACACCTCCTTCCATGCTTCCTCCCACCATCCCTTCCTTCCTTCTTTTAAAAGCATGATTTACAGGGGCTAAAGCAATATACAGTGTGTCGGGTGCTTGCCTTACATAGGGATGACCTGGTATCCATGTACTCCCCCCAGATAATTCCTGAATACAGAGCCAGGAGTAACCCCTGGTCACTGCTGGGTGTGGTTCACACACGTGCGTGCGTGCGCGCACACACACACACACACACACACACACATTTACAAAGTTGTTCATAATACAGTTGTTTCAGGCAATCACCACTAGTGTGAGATTTTCTCCTCCAATATCATTGGTTTCCCACCCACCCCGCAAAGTCTACCCTCTTATCAGGCACAAGAAAATTTATTTCATATTACTTGTTACAAAAGTATGGCAAATGGGTTATATAAAAATAGATTAATAAAAGTCAATTTATTGTATTATATCTCTCTGTGGTGTTTCTAAAGTCACTGAGGATTTACTAAGCTGGTTAGTGCTAGTTAAGCCTTTTGTGTTATTTTTCTTCATTGCACTTGTACGACCTTTTATTTTTTGTGGGGGGTCTCACATACCTGGCTGTGTTGGGGCATGTGGTGTTGGTGAGGGTCTCAGACAGTGGAACTGCTGGTTTCATAGTTGGCACTTGTGATGGCACTTGTGACCAGAGATGAAATCACAGACTCACTCTTGCAAGGCAGGTGCTTTATTTTTTTATTTTTTTTTTATAATTTATTTATTTATTGAATCACTGTGGGAAAAGTTACAGAGCTTTTGGGTTTAGGTCTCAGTCATGTAGATACCAAACACATTTCCCTTTACCAATACTCATTTTTAACCCCGAACCCCAATAGACCCCCACCTCCCACCCCTCCCAATTCTTGTGAGGCAGATGAGTTCTAGTTAATACTCTATCTACTTTGACTAGATAGATTATTTCGATAGAAGATGCACAATTATTGTTTAGAGTTTACGACCCACCCCCCACAATCAGACATGCTGAAACAGCGTTGTGAAATGATTTGCTTTCTACAACTTGGTTTAAGAATAAAATGATGTTGCGTGGCCGCAATAGCGGCCGCGCGGTTTTGAATTTCTGCTATTTTACTTATTGACCCTGGAAGAATTTCTATTAAAAGTTAGCTAGTTAAGAGATTGGTTTCTGTGCCCTGGAGTCGTGGCCGTGCCGGAGAGCCGCTCATGGGGGGCAGCTGGCGACCTCGGTGGGGCGTGGGGGACGGCCCACAAAGCCCCCCTTCCCATGAGGTCCCTGCCGCTCCCGCCAGCCCCGGCTCAAACCTGCTTTCCACAAGGCTCCCGTGCGGCCGCCATCTTTCTTTCCAGAGAGGAGCGGGCGGGCCGGTCAACGCCCTTTCCCCTCCGGGCAGGCTTGGTGGCGCGGTTTAACACAAGTCCATTTGCTTTTCTGCTCCAAGCGGCTGGTTCTCTGTGCTAAGTCCTTGTGCCTCCGGGGCCGTGGCCGTGCCGGAGAGCCGCTCGTGGGGGGCAGCTGGCGACCTCGGTGGGGCGTGGGGGACGGCCCACAAAGCCCCCCTTCCCATGAGGTCCCTAAGGCAGGTGCTTTAGCCATTGAGTCACTTCCCCACTTCCTACTTTTGTTTTTATTCTGTTTTGGGAGCTGGACCCAACAGTGTCCAGGGTTACTCCTTGGTCTTCTTTCAGGGATAAATTATGATGGGCACTCAGGAACCACCGGTGGTGGTCTCACTTGTTTCATCTGTTTACCAGCCTTCCGTATTTTTTTTTTTTGAGTCATCCAGCAGTTTGTAGGATCTTCTTGACTGTTCACTTGCTATTCTTTTTTATGGTGGCTTTCTGATAGTTATTTGACATTCTAGTTCTTTCATTCATTTTATTTGCTAGCTATGTAAAACTATAACCCATGCCAGTACTCTCCCCACAGCCAAGAAGCTCACTGGCCTGCAGCTTTGATCATTCGCTGTGGTAATCTTCCTTGATGAAGGTTTGATGGTTTTCAGGGCATTGCCTGGTTATGTGGGGCAGTTTGGGCAGATGGTATTGGGAGCCACTAGAGCTGTACCTGGTGATTCTCAGGGACTATGTAGTACTTGAGTGCCTCAGTTATAGCAAGAGTACACTCTTGCCATATTGAGACAGCCATTGTTCTCTCTTTTATATAGTTTTATTTATTTTCAAAATGACAAAAGAAATTTTATTGTTGGTTTTTGTATCACACCCAGTGGTGGTCAGGGTTACTTTGGCTCAAACTACAAGGTGGCTCCCAGCAGTGCCCCTGGGAACCACATTTTGCCTCTGACTTGCAAAGCTTCCACATGATCTTATTCAGTAATCTTTCCTTTTCATTCTGGATAGCCTTTTCTTACAGGAGAATTTTGATTTTTAATGTCCATCTTTCCACTGCTTTCCTACTGTGTAAGATTATTTAAAAAACCTGTTTCTTTGCTTTTGAGATTTTGTTCTTGCTCTTTACTTGGAATCCTCCTCTTCTGTTTCTCTGCTTGGCAGAGAAACAGAAAATATGTGGAATTTATCACTTGATCACTTGACTTTTTGTTAATCGTTGATTTGCTCAAGTGGGCGCCAGTAATGTCTCCATTTGTCCCTGTCACGTGCTAGTGTAGCCCAATGGCGTCTGTTCGTTCTAGGAATACGAAGAGCCTCAAACCGATCATTCAGGATCTTGATGAAGAAGTCTGACCATCTGGTAGGTGGACAGCCACGCGGTCTTTTGATGTCCCGTGGAATCCAGTCGGTAACAACTCTAGTCCAAATCTCATTACGTGTCCAGCCCATCTGATTTTTGACGACTTGGCAAACAAGACAGCCTGATTCTTGATCATTGATGGAGGTCGGAACTCCGGATTCTTTCTCTCATTTGATTGAAATGTGATACTCCAAGCATAGCTCTTTCAATTCCTCTTTGGGAGATCTGAATAGCGTCTTCATCCTGTTTGCGTAGGGCCCAGGTCTCTGAGGCGTATGTTAATGCAGGAAGAACAGTGGAATCAAAGAGATGTGCCCGGAGCACGAAGAGGATGAAGAAACCTCAATGAGCTTGGTTATCGTATGGATATGGTTGATGGTGCTGAATCCTTTGCGGAACCCGGCTTGCTTGCATGGTTGTCCTTCATCTAGTGTTCTGCCAACCCTATTCAGGATGACTCAAGTGAACAGCTTGTAGATGACAGACAATAGGCAGATTGGGCGATAGTTGCCAATGTCATGGATGTCTCCCCTCTTGTACAGTCCTGCTGGTTTTCCATTGGGACGGAACCTTGCATTCAGACAGGTAGCAAGTGAAGAGCCGAGCCAGCGTATTGATGAGTACTGACGGCAGGTTCTTCAGGTGTTCAGGTCTGACCTTGTCTGGGTCAGGTGCTGTTCGTTTCTTTACCGACGAAATGGCGTGTCGGATTTCAGAAGGGAGAACATTGGGAACGACATATCCATCCTGTGGAATTTGGTATGTGGGCAGATGGAATTTATCCAAAATATAAAAATACAAAAATGTAATAGAATTTTACCATATCTCATCTAGAGAATGGATATCCATATTGGTATTATATGTATTATATGTGTTTGAATTATAAACAATGTAGTTGCTCAACTGTGTTGTTTTTGAATCTTCTAATTTGTCCCTAACTTAGGGGAAAATGGACAACCAAGAATATAAGGATGCATATGAATTTGCTGCAGATGTTAGATTAATGTTCATGAATTGCTACAAATACAATCCTCCAGATCATGAAATAGTGACAATGGCACGAATGCTCCAAGTGAGTTGATACTTCTGTTTTGTAGTGTGTTTTCTCTGAATAATGGCTTGAAAATTCTGAACCAGAATTGAGTAGATAAAGCATACCATGCCTGTCTTGCCACATAAACACCCTTTACAAGTAGTAAATACAGATTATATATTATACTCCTTTGGGCTAGGGGTTGGGGCACACCCAGTTGTGTATAGGGACCACTCCTGGTGGGTCTCAGAGGACTATATGAGGTACTGGTACTCAGAGGTTAGTAGTGATGGAACTCCGGAAGACCACATGCAAATCAAGTGCCCTACCCAATGTACTAGCTCTCTGGCCACTAAAATAATTACTCTTTTTTTTTTTAATTCTCCACCCCAGCTATTTTTATTATCTATTTGACTTTGTTGCCTGTGATTCTATAAAATGGGGAGTGAGGGAGATTACTATGGACTTAGGGTGTAGAAAGGAATTGTTGGAAAGGAAAGTCCTAACCTTGATATCGGTATTCTAGATCTGTCGCTTTCCCTCACAAAACACAACTTTAGGATGTTAAATGGTGGAGCAAGATTGTTTTTATTGAATGAAATTTACTTAGGAGGATCCTAGGGGAAGGAGGAAGTAAGTTTTTGAGAGAACACAGACTTCTTCAGAGTGGAAAAGCCACAGAGACATAGATACAAGCAAGCAAGATACATTTTTAGAGGAGAATATGGTCCTGATAGAGCAAGCTAGCAAGTAAAAAGACATAGTAAGGTATATGTTCAAGAGAGAACATAAGCTTGAAGGAGCAAGCTGAAATTATACTCTTTTTTTTTTAATGGGGCCATATTTAGCAGTGCTCAGGAAGCAGTACTCGTGGCAGTACTCCTTGGGTCTGCTCTGTGCCAGAGAAATGCCTTAATCCCTGTGAGCTCTCTTTAGCCCCTGTAAACTACACTCTTGAAGCTGTGGAATTTGTTGGCTTGTTTGTTTTTTAAGGTATATCATTTGGCAGCAAATTTTATAGTGAGGTTTCCCTTTATATATATGATATTGGAGAAATATGAGTAAAGAGGGATCAGTCAGTTCGTCAGATAGGACTTCCTGATGCCCAGGTCCCACTGAAGGGAAGGCTCAAGGACGTGAGTCTGAGCCACTGGGAGAAAGTTAAAATAATGCTTCAACCACAGAGTAAGTGTAAAGAAGTCTCCCATGGGACTAGAGAGGTCTCTCTTACTGGGAAAGGGGATAAGAGTTCCTAAGGTAGCTGGGCAGGAAGTAAGAATCTCTCATTTCTTCCAGTAAATAATATTGTGGTGTATTTAGGACCACAACCTGCAGTGCCCAGGCTACATCCCGCTCTCTGCTCAGAAGTGACCACCTGCTGTGCTTATGTGGTGCTGGAAATTTTGGGGTCAGCGGGGTGCAAGACGAGATTTAACCCCTGTACTATACCTCTCGCCTATTTTCTCCATTTTTATTTATTTTTACCTAGTTAATTTGGTTTTGGGACCACGTCCAATGGTGCTCAGGGCTTATTCCTGGCTCTGTGCTCAAGGATAACTCCTGGCGGGGTTCAGGGGAGCATATGGGCAAGGCAAGCACCTAAATCATTGTATTATCTCTACAGCCCAATCCCCCATATTATAGAAATATAATTGATGTATGGCATTGTGTAAGTTTGAGTTATATATATGTATATATATATGTATTTGCAAAATGATCACCATAGGAAGGAATTCTTATCAAAATATGACACTGAAATGTACTTTTTTGCTAAAAGGTGTTACTACTGTATTACATCAGTAATGCAAACACTAAAATACTCTAATCTTCCATTATAGGACGTTTTTGAAATGCATTTTGCAAAGATCCCTGATGAACCTGTTGAAAGCATGCCTGTATGTTACATCAAAACAGAAAGCACAAAACCCCTTGGTAAAGAAAGTAGTAGTGGAGCTTCCTCTGAAGAGAATTCTTCTGGTGACTCTGAAGATGAACGAGTTAGGCGTCTTACAAAGCTTCAGGAACAGGTAGTTGATTGTATTGGTAGATTTTATATTTCTATGAGCTACTGCTTATTATTTATAAAATCATTTTTTGTAAAATCATTTTTTTGTAGATTAAAAGCTATAAGGGGTCAAAGAGATAGTAAAGTGGGTAGGGTACTTGCCTTGCATGTAGCTGTCCCAGGTTCGATTCCCCAGCATCCCATATAGTCCCTGAGCACCAACAGGAGTGACTCCTCAGTGCAGACCCAAGAGTAATCCCTGAGCACTGCTGAGTGTGACAGATTGAAAGAAAGAAAGAAAGAAAGAAAGAAAGAAAGAAAGAAAGAAAGAAAGAAAGAGAGAGAGAGAGAGAACCCATTCTATCATTTAGCATTTAAAAAGATCTGCATATCTTAAACTTTTTTTATTCTAGCTGGCTAAAGTGAGTTGACTCAATGAAATGATTCCATGACTTAATCAAATAGTTTGTGAATAATGTCTTTATTAAACATTTGATATCTTTTATGACAAAATGTTAACCTGCCCTAAATCCAAGCCAAGAAAATCAGTGACTAAAACCATGACCACCTGGAAGGCTTAATTATTATTGTCTGTTTTTAGGTTACTATTTAGACTTACAGCCTACAAACATATACTAATTTTGTAATGTAAAGCATGTTTTTGAAAGCAGTGATTTTTGAAATAAGGAATCCAAAGGAAATAAAATTAATTTCATAAAGGATATTTCGCTTTTGAGTGCCTTCCTGATTTACTGATGTTTTTCAGTTGTTCAGAGCCATGAAAGGTTAAAGAATTTTTTTTTTCCAGCTTAAAGCTGTTCACCAACAACTGCAGGTTCTGTCACAGGGACCTTTCCGTAAGCTGAAGAAAAGGAATGAGAAGTGTAAAAGGGAAAAGAAAAAGGAAAAGGTTAATAACAGACCTGAAAATCCAAGAAAAAAGTTTAAGCAAATGAAAGTAAAGGAAAAGCCCAAGATCAAGTAAGCATCTTTTATGATGCCTGAGTAAAACCATAACATGTGAAAAATAAAGTTGACTAAATTTAGCTTTTATTCTAGTCCACCAAAGAAGAGGAAACAGCAGGTCCCTGCTCCGAAAACTGAAAATGAAGATAATGCAAAACCTATGAACTATGACGAGAAAAGGCAGTTAAGTCTGGATATAAACAAACTCCCCGGAGAAAAACTTGGTCGAATTGTTCACATAATACAATCAAGAGAGACTTCTCTGAGGAATTCCAGTCCTGATGAGATCGAGATAGACTTTGAAACTCTGAAAGCATCCACACTAAGAGAACTAGAAAAATACGTTGCTGCCTGTCTAAGAAAAAGACCCCTGAAACCTCGTGGTGTGTATTTCTGGAAATTATTAAAATCAAACAGGTGTTTATGTATGTATGGATTGTGTTAACTCTTTTATCCCCTCAATCACACAGGCAAGCAAATAACGAAATCCAAAGAGGAACTGTTTTCACAGAAAAAACAGGAGCTGGAAAAGCGATTGCTGGATGTCAATAATCGGTTAAATTCTGGAAAAAGACCAACAAAATGTAGGTGTCAGTTTTGAAATGTTCCTGAGACTGTTTCATTTGATGGGCACCTAATGCATCTCTGTTGTGTAGGTGAGAAACCACAGCCAGTCAAGACTGTTCAGAGTGGGTCCCGACTGAGCGAAAGCAGCAGCAGTAGCAGCAGCAGCAGCAGCAGCAGCAGCAGCAGCAGCTCCTCAGAGTCTGGAAGTAGCAGCAGTGACTCAAGTTCCTCTGACAGCAGCGATTCTGAATCAGGTTAGCTGACTCATTGCATGTGCTTCTTTTGGTGGGAAATACCTTTTTCTTATAACATCGAGACTTAGATTTTTTTTTTAAATGTATTTGCTGCTCACCGGAACATATGGTTTGGATGTCACACTTATTATCTAATTACATGTTAAATCTTGCTATTTTCCTTAAAAGAGAAATTGTATAAAATGAAACTTCATATTAAACATTTGTAATTTACAGAGTTATGTTTGGAAATAAATTCCCAGAAGGTGGATAGTGTCTTCAGATAGAATAGCAGAACCAAAAACCATAGTGCATCAAGTAAATACCAGTTTGAAGGCGATCTTTTTACTCAGCTCTCCAAGATGCAGCAAGTCTCTCCTCTGTTGCAAAGTGTGTCCTATTGTGACACAATTTCTGAAAAATAATCATTTTGAGTAAAAAAGAAAAACAGTTTGGCAAGGGTGGCAGTGATAGTACAATGGGTAAGGCACTGTCTTGCATGTGTCCTATCCAGGTTTGATCCTGGCACCCCATATGGGCCCCCAAGCCCCTCCAGGGCCATGAGTACGCCCTGAGCACCACTGGGTGTGGCCCCAAAATAAAAAAAAAAGGAAACCAGTCTGCCCAGAAAATGTATAAAGCAAAAATTTTCATTTCCCTAATTTCTTCATTATAGAATATTTTCCTCAGTTTGTAGAAGACTACACATCAAATTCAGATTCTTAGTCATACTAAAATACCACATTACCTTGTAGCTCATCACCAGCTGTATCAAGCTAGTATTTTCTTTGTGCTCTTTATTAATACTTATGTAGTTGTCAATCACTGCCCTAGGGATACTGACTTGGCAGTGGCATTTTGTCATTATTCATTGAAAGGTAAATTCAGGATTATGTACTCTTTTTGTGTAAAATTTACTTTTTAAAAGATGGGGTATTTTTTGTTTGTAATAAAAGTCAGGTTTTTCTTCTTACCAAAAAACAAACAAACAAAAAGCCCACACAGAGTACCGTCCCAACATAAATTCTTCCATTTCTAAAATACCCTTATTTCAGCCTGATAATAAGAGTCTGCTGTCTTACAGCACATTTTATTTCACTTTTGGTTCTGTTTAACTTGCATTAATGTGCTGGTTACTGCATTTTGTTTTGTTTTTATAGTTATTCAGTATATAGTAGTAAATGTTTTTGTTAGAATAAACAGGATTTTTACATTTGTTGAAATTTGTCATATAAGAAAAAATTAAATTTAGGGCTCTGATATATATATATTACTTTCTTATTTTAACATTTAAGCATAAAAATACTGGAAAGTCTCAAACTGCATTTAGTATTTAAAATTGTAATTAGCATTTGTAATCTTATCTAATAAAGCATTTGTGGTCTAATAAGTTAGAGCACTTTGTCTTTTGTTTGTAGGATAAAATTTATGTTGAAACTGTTAGTTTGAATTATCTAATTGCATATTGACTACTGATCAGAAAATGCCTTCAGTATTAGAAGAAAACTAACATATAAAAGAGTGCTTCACCAAAGTACCCTGATTCTAATTTGAATTATCAGTTCCTTATAGAACTCTTAATTCACAAAGCATTTTTTACAGACTGACATTCTTGTTTAATGTCATCTTTATCTAGTAATACACTTTTTAAAAACATATAATCAAAATAAAAATAAGATTTTTATATTTCAGCCATCATTATGGTTAGTGTTAACACTAAGATCAGTTGTATGAGTTGTTTATCTTTAAATTTTTAATCATTTTTGTAAACATACTGTCCTTTCATTGTGAAAAACACTGTACATTATAAATTTTTGGATGCAATGCCTATAATAATGAGGGAAAATATAATTATATTTTTATTAATAAAATAAATTAATAATTGGAGCAATAGGGTCTTTTGTCCTAACCATCAACTTCATTTGTATTGGTTAAAATGCTATAAGTAATAATTTATAATTTTTCCTGGTATTTGTTGGGGATCAAATTCAGGGCTTGTTACTTGCAAAGCATATGCTACATCAATGAAGCCAAAGCATATAATTTCCGGTGTGTAAATGAGTCATGTTTAATTTCTGGAAAACAACTATAAGAAAACTTTCAAATGAAAAAATTGTGTGTAGATTGTGAAATGTAACTGAATCAGGCCATATCAACAACATTATAAAAATGAGTAAAGCATCTACCACTCTTAATTATGCACATGAGATTCTCAAGGAGGATGTTTCAAATCCTAAATCTCAATTTTAGAGTATGAAGATTGGAACCACTTGATAAAACAGAAAATTAGGCATATTAGCAATGATGTTATATCAATAAAAATTAACTGACAATTTAAAAATTGTAGCTTTAAAATTATCCAGAACTGAAGTGCAGAGTTAGAATATTTTGATTTCCTGAACTCCAATTTATGAAGCATTTTTTTAAAAATTAAATCACCATGAGATACATGAAGCTTTTAAGATACATGTCACTGTAATTTTATTTCTTCAGAATAAGTAGAAAAAAATTTTTGAAACTTTGGGGGAGGGAGGCACACCCAACGGTGCTCAGGGATTACTCCTAGCTGGGTTCTGGAGACCATATGGGATGCTAGAAATTGAACTCTGGTCAGCCAAATGGAAGGTATGTGCCCTGCCTGCCTTATTATCACTGTGTTTTTGGTCAGATTTGGGGGCCGAGGAATAAACCCTGGTCAGCCATGTGCAAGGCAAACATTTGCCTTATCTACTGTACTAACTCTCTGGTCCTATATAAAAATCATTTAATTAATTTTTATAATTTATAATTCTATAAATTATAATTATAAGTTATAATTTTATAAATTATAATTATAAATTATAATTTTATGAATTATAATTATAAATTATAATTTATAATTTTATAAATTATAATTTATAATTATCAGGGACAAAGCTTTAAATTAGCTTTTAAAAGTTCCTTATATTATTGACTTTTAGGGTCCTTATAGTTTACTTGTATTATGAATTGGTCTCTTACTGCTATATTATTTCGTGTTGGCCAAAATGTTTTAACTGTAGCATCTATGAAATCAAGCATTTATAGATTGAAAATAGTTAAGGGCTGTTTAGTCTCTGATAGTTATGTAATTATCTTTTATGTATTCTCAAACCTCTAATAACTTTTGAAAATACAGGTTTAATTCTGTTTTGTTTAAAAAAGAAGTGATTTAAGTAAATAGCAGAAATGATTTTCAAGGAAGTTTACTTGAAAACTCTTTATCAATTTTGAACATATAAAGTCAGTTTGAAGTTAGTATTATTTTTAAATTCCAACTCTGAAAAATAAAAAATTGTGGGCTCAAGCAGTAATTACTTGCAAATACCAGTGTGTTTTGATTTTATCATTTAAATTATCTTCCTGAACTAACATCAGCACAAATGAATTGTTAGGTATAGATAAATTAAGAATTTATTAAACATTGTTATAAAGGTTTTCATAAACACCAAAGTATTATTAAATGTCAAAGATGTAAATGAGCTTTGATAATAAAATGAAATCTAGATACATATCGCTATATTAACTACATCAGTTATTTTCAGTTTTTTTATGTTTTTGACAATTGAAGATCACTGAGCTGGACTGTGCTCATATATACACAATAGGTATTAAGAAAACTTTCTAATGCTGTGACTAGCTTGAGGGATTTGGAGGGAGGACTACAGTAAGAGAAACAAACGAACTAGCTTGTCTGTGATAGTGGTTTTGATGGACACCTTCAAGAACTGTCTCAGATAGTGAAATAGAATTTTTTTAAGAATGCTGCATAAATAATTACTTTTTCATGCCAGGACCAAACCTGAGGTCTCATGATACTGAGTTTTATACCCGACTACATGTTTATAATTTTCATTGTGAACAGTTAGATATAAAGAAAATTGGTGCAAATGCCCTTAATTCTGTTCCTGGTTAAGACAAAGTGAATTTATCACTTCATCCATTGAACTTTTTGCTTTTATTTTATTTTTTGGGGGGGGTATCACATCGGCGATACACAGAGGTTACTCCTGGCTCATGCACTTAGGAATTACTCCTGGCAGTGCTCGGGGAACCATATGGGATGCTGGGAATCAAACCTGTGTTGGCCGTGTGCAAGGCAAACACCCTACTCACTCTGCTATCGCTTCAGCCCACTTTTTGCCTTTTTAAAAAAAAAATTTATTTATTGAATCACTGTGAGAACAGTTACAAAGCTTTCAGGTTTAAGTCTGGGTCATACAATAATCAAACACCCATCCATCCCTTCACCAGTGCATATTTACCACCACTTTTTGCTTTTATTGGCATTAATAAAATACTCAGAGAATGACATGGCCTGCCTGTCTGCCTTCCTCCTTTCCTCCAGCATTTATAAGACCAGACCTAGGTAGGTAATGAACTAGAGCACATGAATGTGAATATTTTAGCCTGGACATGATGTTTCTTCTTAAAACTTTTATTTGTTTTGGGTGATTTCACATATGAATAAAATAACAATTTCTGTTTGTATTTTATTTATCTTTTCCTTTTTGGGTCACATGCAGTGATGCATAGGGGTTACTCCTGGCTCATGCACTCAGGAATTACTCCTGGCAGTGCTCGGGGGACCACATGGGATGCTGGGAATTGAACCTGGGTCCAGCTGCCGTGCAAGGCAAACGCCCTACCTGCTGTGCTATTGCTCCAGCCCCACAATTTCTGTTTTTAATACTACAATTAGGTCTTCCATGGCAGTAACAGGGGCTTGTTTTTACATGCAAAGGTGAAGAAACAAACTTTGTTTTGTTTCACTTTTTAATTGAAGGTAGTTTAGTAAATGTTAGAAGTATCAGATGAATTTTGGAGTAATTTTTGTGGTTCAAGCTAGCAAGTTTAAAAGAATTAAAATTCATTAAAAAGTTTAGAACCTTTGTAGTTTCTCATCAACCAGAGTGTTTTTAAAACAATAGAAGTATAAATTCATGGATAAATTCAAGGATACAGACTTGATTAAAAAATTGTATGTATTTAAGTCTATAATCGCATCTCAAGTCTTAGAAATAATGATACATTTTGTCTGTATTTAAAATTTTTCTGTTCAAAATATATTTTTCTGAATAAACAGCCTCTCTCATATATTAACCTAACACTACACTACACTCACCTGTAAAACTTCTGAATGTCTAAATCTGAGTGGCACCAAATATATGTAGAATTAATACCATCCCAGGTGATTATGATGTTTTTAGAGCCATTGGATCTAGGTTTGATTTTGTTGGCTGCTTTCTTACTAGTTGAAATGACCTTGGAAAAAGAAATGTTGACTTATAATGACTTTTTCTGTATTAAAATAAGTTTTAAACACTTCTAGTTAAAAAAAATTACTTCACTTTTATAAGTAGAACTGAACTTAGGTAAGAAGTCTAGAGATGCTTTTTGTCCTATATAATGAGGCCAAATGAGGTTGTGACTTTCCCACCCCTTATGCTCTATAATGAAAATTTGATTTGTTTTTCTGAATTAAGAAATTTTAGAAATCTTTTCTGTTATAATATGCTATTCTGCTTTTACATTTGGAATTATGTTTCTACCCCGCTTATCCAGTTTTTTTTTAAAGTTCACTTGCGAGTTTTCAGTATTTCTGGAATATTGTCTCAGTCCTTTGTTAGATAATAGCTATTAAACAGTATAATACCTGATTCCAGCTCTCTCCTATCTCTGTCTCTCCTTGTTCAAGAAAAATTGACCCGTTGGTCAAAGATTTATAATGAGGGGCCTGAAGTGATAATATATGTAATAGGGTGCTAGCCTTGCATGCAGTCGATCTATGTTCCATCCCAGGCAATCCATGTCCCCTGAGCCCTATCAGAAGTGATCCTTGAGTGCAGAGCCTGGAGTAAGCCCTGAACATAAATCCAGTGTGGCCCCAAAACAAACAACAAACTATATTGAGATTTTTAGAAAGATACGAAAATGGAACATTTACTGGTGCATGATGTGCATTTTTAGCAGTTTACGTGTATTATCCAATTTGACACTCATAAGGTAGGTACACTTAGTTGACAAGTACATGTTTCACTATAGTGTTCGGTTTCATTAATGTTCACTAAACCAAGTAGGGTTTCTTCACTGGTTGAAATGGGATCTTAATGTTCGTAACAAAAAATATTTATGTTTGATTTTTAATTTCAAAGATCAGGAACTTATAGATCCACAGAAATGTGCAGTTTTATTTTACACTGTTCTTGGAAAGTCAGCCTTGAACAAGGAGAAGCACGCTGTATAGTAATGAGATCATTATTCGTCTCACTCAATTCATCTGTCTTTAAATGATAAGACTTTTATGGGATATACTATAGGGCAGCTCAGATCATTTTTAAAATTTAAAAATTATGTGCCTTTTGGTAATATTTTTATATTTGAGGTGCTAATTTAAAAAATTTGAATTTTATGTCAAAATTAAGATAATGCCTTGAAATTAGCAAAACACTAACATGGTTTTCCATATTTTAGTTATACTTATGAGTTTTTAATCATGTTTTTGATAATATTTGAATAGTCAAGATGTATATATGTGCATGTGTTATATGGTCATAATAAAATGTTTTTTATTCAAATATAAAAATTATAATTTCTTCTCTAAATATGAAACCTGAATCTATATCCTCAGTCTTGTAATCTGTTGCCTTCCCTTCCCTTTCCACCTAACCTTCAACACTTAAGTAATACTTAGTGGCGTGACATTAAGATGGTTTATGCCATTTTAAAGACTTTAATTCTTTAAAGCATGTCATTGACATTTAGCAATTTTAACAATGTCCAGCATCAAACATTAGGAGAGGAAAGAACAGTAACACATCCAGTGGAAACTGATGGCATTTCAGGAAGCAGAAGGTAATTATGACAATTAGATTGTTTTAAGTTTGACTATTTGGTGTTGGCCAGCCTTGGTACCCTGGAGCAAATAATGCTCAGGTGGTTCATGAGAATTGTCCTGGAGAGCTGGGTAAAGGCATTAAACAACCAGTGTGGTGCATTTTCCATACTGAAATTGTGGCTGGTGGAATAGCACCCATGTTCAGTTACAGGATAACACAAGGGGAAATTCTTAGCACCCTGACAGGGCTCTCTTTTTATATCTACTTATATTGCCAGAATTCTCTTTTAACATATTTTTATCGGAAATACCATAAAATCATCCATTGCTGTTTAGTTGATATTGCCAAATTTTTTGGAAGTAAACAGAGTATTAGTGGGGATCTTTATAGTTAATGCTTAGCAAGAAAAACTGACTTTACAGGAATCAGATAGCTTCACTTTTAATTTAAAACTTTATCTTATACTCTGGCTCAACCCGGGTTTGATTCCCAGAACTACATATGGTCCTGTGAGCCCTGCCAAAAAGAATGATCCCTGAGCCAACAGGAAGTCGTGAGCACTGCCAGGTGTGCCTCAACCCCCAAAAAAGTGTATCCTCCCAGATAAATGGTATACCCTTTAATCTTAGTAAATTCTAAATTATCAATTTATTAATTAAGCCTCTACTGGCTATTATGGCTACTTGGTCAAAGAAGATTTAGTACTGCTTGTTTAAAACATTATCTCTGTTCTTGTAGCTTTTTCTATTTTAAGCTATTGCTTACAAAAGGTCTTTACTGTGAAGTAACTTAATCATTTTTACCTAAATCAAATGATAGTTTGTGAGTGGGTATTTATTTCATTATGTAGAAAAAAAAACCCATTTAAAAGCAAGTGTCCTTTAGAACACTTTTTCTAATTCTAAGAGGGAAAAACCTGGTAACTTTTAAGAATTTCTTGACTCGAGATGAGTATTAAAGACAGTTTCTTAGTGTTTTTTTTTCTAATAAGAAACAGGTGTAATTTAGATGGTAATTTTTAAGCTGGCAAATATAAAAATGTTTGTCTGCATACATTTGCAGAAAGGCTTCCTATATTTACTGAAGTAAAGCAGAGTGATTCACCTTCTAAAGAGAAAGGAAAGGTAAATATTTCTTCATTTTTTTTAACCTTACAATTTTAAAACCATATATTATATAACTTGTTATACCTTTATCTTCCCTCTCTCTGCTCCTTGTTTTGGTGATTGTTGAGAGACTGCGGCTGGTGCTGAGGCTCCCACACTCACCTCATGGCTTGGCTATGATCACACATATTCACAGTTGTGGAGCTTGCACTCATTTCAGTTGTGATGTGTGGGTGCATTCTGGTCACTGGTGTCATACCTGTGCTTTCTGAAGTCGGGGGTGGGGGTCTGGATTCACTCTTTTATTTTGTCTTTTTGGCAGGTGGTGGAGTCGTTACTCCTGGCTCTGCACTCAGGAATTACTCCTGGCAGTGCTTAGGGGACCATATGGGATTCCAGGGAATGAACCTGGGTCAACTATGTATAAGGCAAATGCCTGCCCCCTGTGCTATTGCTCCAGGCAGTGGATTCACTCTTGACCACAGTGCTCTTACATCTTTGCATTGTGCTGGTCAGGAACTCAAACCTACTTTACTGTTAGTGCTCACACACTCCTGGATGTGCATTGGAGAACACACACACACACACACACACACACACTCACACACACACACTCACACACACACCTCTGCACTGCCAAGGGGTCCCAGGTCCAAGACAGCAGGGTCAATCAGACCCAAGATTAGCACAGGCATGTTGGCACCAGAATCTCACTCATGGCCTCATCCTCCCAAGGCAGCACTTGTAGCTGCTGAGTCATCTCCTACGGACTTGGTTTAGCTAGCTAGCTTGCTTGCTTACTAGGTTTCTCTCTCTCTCTCTCTCTCTCTCTCTCTCTCTCTCTCTCTCTCTCTCCCTCTCACTCTCTCTCTCTATATATATATATGTATATATCTCCCTCTCTTTTTTTTTTATAAATTTCTTATTTAAAAAACTCTGATTTACAAAATTATTGATAGTTGCATTTAGGCAGGTTATAGCTTGCTTTAAAGTTTTTCTTTTATTTACATGGGAAGAATAATCACTCTTCAATTTGTCAGTTAAATATTCAAAGATTGCTACCTAAGAGGAATATAGAACATTGTCACTACATTTTCCTGATAAGATACAACCACTGTATAAATCAATCAGATGAACAGAACTAATTACAAATTGTTCTTCCTTAGCTTTGGGAATCTAAAGAGAGGGGATGGCCTTGCTCTATTCATGGACCCAGAGTAGAATGTGCACAGCAATGTGGAATTTCTTTTTAAAAAGGCAGTAAGCGAATGACAGGGTTTCTAAAGCTTATAATTACCAACTAATTTTAGCACATCAATATTGGTAAAGGTAAAGGCCCTCCCATTGATCGTCGATTTGTTCGAGCGGGCCCAGTAACGTCTCCATTGGAGACTTTGTTGTTACTGTGTCTGGCATATCGAATACTCTCGGTAGCTTGTCGGGCTCTCCGAGAGGGGGGGAGGAATCGAACTCCGGTCGGCCATGTTGGCCGCTTGTAAGGCGAACGCCCTACCCGCTGTGCTATCGCTCCAGCCCTCGGCACATCAATATTGGAATAGTAATTGACCTGATTTGAAAAGATAGAAGCTATTCTATCTTATTACTAATTAAGATTGTTATTCTCATATAAAACTTTGAACCTTTGTTATCAAATATAAAATACAGTAAATTTATTTAACAGCACCTAGTTAAGGTTAGGGGAATGCAATATAGCATTGTCTTGAAGGAGTTTTAAGTTGTGAGAAGAAATACAATCACATTAAAAGGTTATATGATTGCTGTAATAACGTTCATAATTGACAAAATTAAAATGAATATATATGCTGCCTAAAGGAAAGAGAATGCTTAAAACGAATTCTCAATTACAGAGAAAGGGAAGATAATGGTTAGTATATTTATAGAAGAAATAGGAAGTAGGGACTTTTTATTTCCCCCACAGGGTCAGCCTCATTCACTGCATGCTTCTTAAACCCCATATTCTCTCCTAGTCTAAGTATACACTTTTTTCTTTTCTTTTTAGCTCTTATTTAGGTATTATGCTTTTACAATACTGTTAATTGAGCTTCAGTATATAATGTTCCAACACCAAATCACACCTGAGTGTCAGCATCCCTTTACCCTCACCAATTGTCCATGGCAAACTCAGTTTTGTAGTCTGATTCTATGGTTCTGTTACCAGTGGTTATTTTTTTTTAACTTCTTTACAATTTTTCTTTATATTCCACATGAGAGATTATTCTGTATTTGTCCCTCTTCTGACTGACTCCACTCAGCACCATACCTTCTAGTTCCATCCACATAGAGGTGAATTGCAAGATTTCATCTTTACCTATAGCTAAGTGGTATTCCTTGATTTATATACCAGTTTCTTAACCAGTCATCTGTTCTTCTTTTTTTAAAGAAGTGTTAGAATAATACAGGCAGAAAGTAAAATAAACACAGAAGGTACCTTTGGATAAATATGGCTATAGAGGTTATTTGAAGTGTTTAGGTAGCTTGGAGATATAATTTGGAGATTTTTTGACGACTAGAAGTATTGGCCTTTCATTTGGAAGCAAAAGTGAGCTGTTAAGGACCTCTGAGTAGGAAGAAATACAGATAGGTAGTCTACCTTACCACAATATTAGTGCATCAGAAATTTGTAAACCTTTGAAGGCACTTCAGAAGCAGTCTCAATAAATTGTAAGTAAAATACTGTATTTTTTTTTAATTTTCACAACTGGCTCATTCTTTAATATTGCAACCCGTCATTTGAACAAACCTCCAGGTTGCCTGAGAATTAGCTAGCATTTTAAAGACGCTGCAGTAAATTCTCACAAGTAAATTCTCTTTGTTAATCCAAGTGGTCATAGTTATTTTTTTAAATTTTTTTTTTATTAGTGAAACACCATGAGGTACAGTTATAGACTTATAAATTTTTGTGCTTGGGTTTCAGTTATACAATGATCAAGTGCCCATCCTCCACCACCATACTGTATTCTCAGTTTTGTTCACTGACAATACCATTTATCATAAAAATAAAAGATGTATACATTTATATGATGATGAATAAATATATTTTTATATATTTATATAATAGTAAAGAAGATGCATTTCAGTTATTTTTGCTAGATAAATACTTCTATATCATTTAAGTTAGCATAGGCTTTCATATGTTTGTTTTATCTATTCACTGTAAACATTCTTGCTAACCATTTCATTAGGCAAAGGAGGAGGAAAACTGTCGTATTCATCTCTCTTCTAACTTAGAGCTTAGTTGATAAGGTACCAGGGCTTTGGTGCTTTAATTTGGCTTACCACTAAATAGATGCAAACTTGTAGGTAATTTCCTTTAATTATTTCTAAGTCCTGTTGTAAACTCTGAGTGAGGCTAAATCATAGAATTATTATAGGAATTAAAGAACTAAGGACTTATAAAGACTGGTGCCTCACACAGTAACATAAAACTAAAATACATAAGTTAATTAGCTGCATACAACCATCTTTATAAAATAGTTATGGAATAAATTTATTACTATCTTATGGATCAACCATCATGTAATTTTTTTAAGTCAGTCTCCCCTATATCTATAATTTAGTAAGGAAAAGGGAGTAAAGTATGGGACCTCATCTTTAGATTTGGTATTGTAACATTAATTTTCATTTCAGTAGGTCACAGAAAAGCATTTGATAATAAATAGTACATTTTTTTAAAAATTAGTCATCATGAATTATGAAGATTTTTATAATTTGGTTTCAGGCATACAATGTCCAACACCAGTCCCATCACCAGTGTCCATTTTCTTCCACCAGTGTCCCCAGTTTCCTTCCCATTCACCAGCTTGCCTCTATGAGAGACATTTGTTTTTTAAATATAAATTTTTGGGCACTATGGTTTATCATACTGTTACTGATAGGGTTTCATCTATAACACTTCATCAGCTCTCAGCACTCTGTCCTTCTCCCAGATGACCACTTTCCTCCACTTTTGTCATGGTGTTCTCTTCCCTAACCTACACACACACATACACTACACACACACACACACACACACACACACACACACACACACACACACACCACACACACCAGCCTACCATGGCAGGCTTCCTATAGAAGTTCTCGGGGCCAGAGTGTTAGCACAGAGGGTAGGGCGTTTGCCCTGCACATGACCAACTCATGTTCGATCCCCAGCATTCCATATGGTCCCCTGAGTACCACCAGGAGTATTTCCTGAGTGCAGAGCCAGGAGGAACCCCTGAGTATCGCTGGGTGTGACCCAAAAAGCCCCCCAAAAAAGACCAGTTCTCATGTTTTAACTGAGTGCTGGGCAGAAACACTTAGAGTCTATGATACAGTTGAACTAACACATATAAGTCTGTGATCTGGAAAGATCTTTGACTTTGACTAATCCTCTTTATTAGGTATATGATAGCTTAGTTATTTAATCTATTTAAGTCTTAGTTTTCTCTTGTGTATGATGAAAATAATTGTACCACAGAAATTTGTGTGACTTAAATGCTATATTCAAAAGATAGTATTAAGTTCTTCTTGTATTTTCTTAATTTATATTTAATGTGTGATTAAAACTCTGAAACATAATTTTATTTAACTTTATCATAGCAGATACAATCTTCAGTGCAGGAGACTACCTCTGTGAAAACTGCCCCTGTCCATCAAAACACCCATTCATGTGCAATACCACCCAATCACTACCAATTAACAGTTAATGAGGAATCTGAGCACTTACAGAGTGTAAAAAACATTTCTACTTTACAAACTCTGCCTTCCTCAGGTAAGACATTATAAGTAAATGATGAATGGATAGCCTGATGTTTAAAACTATACATGAAAATGCTAAAGACATCTTAAATGCTGCATTTCTGAGGGGCTGGAAGATAGTACATTGGGCAGGGAGCTTGACTTGCACGTGACCGAACTGGGTTCAATCCTCAGTACCTCATGGATCCCTCAGTCCCTTAAGGAGTGATCTTTGAGCACCGGGCCAGGAGTAAGCACTGAATGTGATCCAAAACAAAAGAAAGAAAATTGCTATGTATTTGAGATACTGGAAATTGTTAGTGAATTTGAGATTATAAATCTGAGGCAAGTTGTTAGAAATTATCTACTTTATAACCAAATATACTTACTATTTGTGAAAGAGAGGAGTTGGGACTCACCTAAGGTGTTCAGAGGCTATTCCTGGCTTTGTGTCAGTGATCACTTCTGGTAGTGCTTAGTCATGCAAGACTTCTGGTGTGCAAACTAAGTTTCTCACCCCTGTACAATGTAACATGTGCTCTGATACCCCAAATGTACTTGTCATATTTCAGTGATGGAAAATAACTTATACAAACAAGTGGACCTTATCTATATTCTGTCACTGAAGAGCACAAAATATCTAGTTTTGACAGATTTAACTTCCATGATGCCTCTGTGGGTTGGAACAGTCAATTAGAATAAGGAAAAGATAATTTGAGATTCCATAGGTAGAGAAATGAAGTTATAAATATTTACATAGTTTATAATTAAGAAAATGTGGGGCTGAAATACTTGTCTAGCAGTGGTTCCAATGTATCATATATTCTTCCAAGTGTCTTTAGAAATTTTTATATTGTTAGATTCTTTTGAATTTATGAGTATCTTGTCATTGTATCTTGTCTTGTTGACAGGGGAAGGTATTAGGGATCCAAGAATGTGGCTCATTGGTATACCACACACTCACGTATGTGGGTACCTAGATTAAATCTCTCATACTGAAAAAAAAAATGCTTTAACTGGCCCTTCCTGGGGATGTATGGCACAAAGATTTTTCTGACACTAACAACCTAGGGAATGCCTGAACCTTGAGATACTAACGTATCTTAATATATTTTAGTATATTCAGTGCTGCATGTTTTGATACATTTATATAATTATATATTAATTTTTATATATATATCCTTTTTTTTGTCTTTGGGTTTTTGTTTTGGACCATACCCAGCAGTGCCAAGGGCCATTCCCAGCTTGGCGCTCAAGTATTGATCCTGGGGATTCTTAGGGGACCATTCAGAACTGGGGATGGAACTCAGATCTACCATATGCAAAGTATGTCTGCACCCTTTGAGGTATCTCCATGGCCCCTTATATCCATCCTTCTATAAAAGAATATTTTTGAGACACTCAGAATAATCGATGATGTATTGATTCGAAGTGCTGATTTACCTTGAACACCAGTGCTAGATTTGTACAATAGGTAGCTTCAAATAAGAGCAGAGCAACATCATTATTTAGCTTAATTTCTAGGTTTAAGTCAATGTCCTCCTGTTGTTCATTGATTTGCTCGAGCGGGCCCATTTGAGCAAATGTCTCCATTTTGAGACTTGTTACCGTGTTTTGGCATATTGAATACATCATGGATAGCTTGCCAGGCTTTGCTGTGCAAGGAGAGATACTCTCTGTAGCTTTCCAGGCTCTCCGAGAGGGGCATAGTATAAAATTATTAAGTATATAATGATTATATATTTATATTACGGATATAATGATTATATAAATATGTGTACTGTTTGAAATAGATTTATCACCACACTAACTGGTTGAATTTTTTAAAGTTTATTATAGTTATGAAAATGTGTTTACAATGGGGTTGACATTTTTGGTTTTGGTGTACAAAGTTTACTCACCTCACCAGCACCAGAGAATCTAAAACCCTCCACCCGTGCCACTGTGCAGCATCAGATTTGATGTTAAGAAGACATTGCTGCTTTGTCTCTACAACAGTGCTTCCCAAAGGGTCAAGACCCCTGCAGGGGGACTGGAGGGAACACTGGAACAATTCAGTGGAGGCAGTAATAGCCCAAGGTACAATTGGAGAGCACTCTGCTTGTTCTCTTAAAGTTCTTTTTCTGGACAGCATCCAGTGATTTTTTTTTTGAAAAGGGGGCTGTATGCTCTTAAGTTGGATGTTCCATGCTCTAAGATGGATGAAGATGCATGGTAGCTGAAACAAGTAGTTAATTGTGTGCTATAGTCAGAGAAAGAAATTTTGAGGACCAAAACTAAGGCTGTCATAGAAGGGCATGGATAGATTAGCACTGTAACAGTGTCCTCTCGTTCATCGATTTGCTCAAGCAAGCACCAGTAACATCTCTATTGTGAAACTTGTTACTGCTTTTGGCAAATCAAAAACGCCACGGGGAGCTTGCCAGGCTCTGCCGTGTGGGCAGGATACTCTCGGTAGCTTGCCGGACTGTCCAAGAGGGATGGAGGAATCAAACCCGGGTGGGCTGTGTGCAAGGCAAACGTCCTACCCGCTGTGCTGTCACTCCATGGATAGAGACAATTTTTTTTTTTTTGCTTTTTGGGTCACACCCGGCAATGCACAGGGGTTACTCCTGGCTCTGCACTCAGAAATCACTCCTGGCAGTGCTCAGGGGACCATATGGGATGCTGGGAATCGAACCTGGGTCGACTGCGTGCAAGGCAAACGCCCTACCCGCTGTGCTATCTCTCCAGCCTCCGAGAGATAAATTTTTAATGGAAGAATTTATAGAATTTGTTAAAATGCATGTCTTATAGGGATTTAAGTTAGGATTGAAGAAGAGGGGAAATACTCCTCTGGGATATGTTTGAGGGACTATTGAATATTTGGTTGGAAAAATAAAACTAGAAATGGGTTTCTGATACTAAATATAGAAAGCATGTAATAATTAGGATTGCCTGAAGCTGTGATCAAGAGCGAAAACACCCAAGAAAATATGTCAGAGCAGAAAGAGAAAATGAAGGACAGTGCAGGAAACAAACCGCGTGGGGACCGCCCCGGTTCCCAGGCAATCTCTGATTCTGGAAGTCACGCCCACAACCTGCCCCCAGCTCCATCTTACAGCACACAGCAGCAAAGAAAACTGTCTGGTGGGCTCCACAACTCCGGGAGAATTCTCCAGGCCCCTACTGAGCTGGTATCACTGGGAGGTCCCAGATAGGGTAGGTGCTGTCTCCCCTCCTTCTCCTGATGGAATCCGGTGACTATGAGCTTCTACAAGCATGGCTCTGGTATGTGGGCACCAGGACTATTTTCTGAACTGTGTGGCTGCTTACATGGCTGTGCGACATTTCCTGATATGCAAAGTGATCAATGGAAAGTAAATGATCTAGCGTTTGTCCCTGAAAAACAGACTTGAATGGTGGTGTGAAAAACTGAGCAAAATATAATGCCCAACTGAAATGCATCTGGACTGTGCATTTAACTATGGTGCTATGCCGCCCTGGGAGCGGAAGGGTGTCTGTCCCTCCGCCTGTCCCCCTTGTGGTGGTGGCACGGTGGCTTGCATCTTTGAGAGCCTAATAAACAGCCAGGTATGAGACTGCATTGACAAGGCACGTGGGGCCTTGTGAGATGGGAGGTGGAATCGGCCCTCCTCCACGCCAAGACAATACTCCAGGTTGCGACCCTCAAACACCTCCTCCGGCTTCTGAACGACCATGATCCCAGAGGCACACAAACCAATCTCGGAACCCAGGGACTTTTGGCAGTAATCGCTCTAGGTTTATTACTAAAATATTAGAAGTCCAAATTTGCGTGGCCACTATTGTGGCCACACGACATCATATGTTCTTCATAATCAGCAATAGAAAACAAATTACCTAATGATATATTTTTGGCAGGTCTGAATGTTGGGGAAAATTCCAAATAATAATGTTCGGTCTTTTGTCGTAATATTGAATGTGATCAATGTAGAGAGAGAGAGAGAGAGTAAAGTAAAAATCTGCCACACAGGCGGGGGTTTGGTGGAAGGGGGGTATACTGGGGTTCTTGGTGGTGGAAAATGTGTACTGGTGAAGGGACGGGTGTTTGATCATTGTATGATCGATCGAGACTTGAACTGAAAGGCTCTGTGACTGTTCTCACGATGAGTCAATAAATAAAAAATAAAATAAAATAAAAAAAGAAACAAACTTCTTTAAGGGGCTGGAGTGATAGCGCAGTGAATAGGGAGGGCGTTTGCCTTGCATGTGGCCGACCCAGGTTTGATTTCCAGCATCCCATATGGTCTTCTGAGCACCGCCAGGATTAATTCCTGAATGCATGAGCCAGGAGTAATCCCTGTGCATCGCTGGGTATGACCCAAAAAGAAAAACAAAACAAAACAAAACAGAAAAAACAAATAACAAAAAAAAGACAAACTTCTTTAGTAATAGAACAAATTAATGAGCTAAACAAATAAATCAACAGATATTTTTATTTCGCATTTTATTTTATTTTTCAACTTTCCCTTACGGTACTTGTTGACTATCGGTCTCGTGCCGGTATTTAGCCTTAGATGGAGTTTACCACGGGCTTTGGGCTGCATTCCCAAGCAACCCGACTCCGGGAAGACCCGGGCCCGGCACGCCGGGGACCACGACCAGCCTCACACCGTCCACGAGGGGCGGGGATTCGGCGCTGGGGCTGGAGCGATAGCACAGCGGTAGGGCGTTCGCCTTACAAGCGGCCAACGTGGCCGACCTGAGTTCGATTTCTCCGCCCCTCTCGGAGAGCCTGGCAAGCTACCGAGAGTATTCGATATGCCAGACACAGTAACAACAAAGTCTCCAATGGAGATGTTACTGGGCCCGCTCGAGCAAATCGACGATCAACGGGAGGGCCTTTACCTTTATTTTACCTATATTTTACCTTTATTTTATTTTTAAAGTTTTTAAAATTGAATCACCTTGAGATAAATAGTTACAAAGCTGCTCATGATCGGGTTTCTTTCAGTCATACAATGTTCCAGTACCCATCCCTCCATCAGTTTACCTTTCCCACCATCAACGTCC